CTGGCACGACTCTATTGTTAGTAGGAAAGTATGATTATCGGGACAAGATAATACTAATTTATGATGGAGAGCATATATTTTAAATTAAATAAAGTAAAAATATGATTAAAAATTGCAGCCCAGCATTGTGACAATGTCACAGTAAATAATTGCTCATTTTATTTATATAATTGTTTATTATTATTTTTGAAGAAAAAATTTTTAAACTTTATAAAATATATATATTTTAATGTTTATAATAATTGCATATTATATATGCAAATGTGTCAACTTTGTGAAATTATGGAATTAAAGGAGTTTTAATTAATAAAATGCTCTTAAAATTTTTCTACTTCTAATTAAAACATGTGATATAAACTTGCTTTTATAATCTATATATTATATCAATTTCAATTTATTTTCAAACGACTCTATGACCAGTGGCCTTTTTCAAGAGTCAAAAAAAAGTAAAGATACACACACACAAAAAATGTACAATCAACAAAACAATAAAAAGAACAGAAGAAAAAAAACAAAAATAACAGAATAAAAATACACACAACTAGTTGCAGCTCAATAAAATAAAATTATTTGATTTAAAGAAAGTAGATTAGAATAGTGATTAAGAATTGATTTAGATAAATAAATTGTTTGTATAATTTTATAATCTACACTAGCAGACCCCGCCACGTGTTGTTGTGGCTCAAAACGTATCTATTATAAATTTATAACACTTCCCCCGTGGGGGGGAATTTTTCGAAAAATTTCTTCTTAGTGTACATTCTCTTGACGTACCCTATTAAAACGCAATCAAAAACGCAAAAACCTGCATCTAAAATAATATAATAGAAGCCAAGTTCTTCACAGTAAGCCTTAATCCTGTCTCTCTCCCCCGCGGGGGAATATCGAAAAATTTCTTCTTAGTGTACATTCTGTTGACATACCCTATTAAAACGCAATCAAAAACGCAAAAACTCGCATCTAAAATAGTATAAATAGAAGCAGAGTTCTTTACGGTAAGCCTTAATTCTAACAATCTCCCTTCAGTGGGGGGAATTTTGACATGTATATTATATAAAAACATGTGCGTATTCGAATGCGGCGTTGTGTCAAAATTTCAAAGGAATCGGTAGGAACAAACAAACATTGCATTTTTATTTATATAGATGGATAGAAGATGATCTGCTTTAGTTCATTTTCACAGAAAAGCATAATGCCTCACAGAAAAGCAAATTTAGGGCGTCGTACTCGTAGTGCCATCTGTTGGACATAAAAGCCTTAACCTAGATTATATATTTTAATTTATATGAATGTTTAACAGAATAATATACAGTCTTTAAAATCATTAAACTTTTTTTTATCTGTTCATAGAGATTCATTTTAAATAGTAAAAAAAGTATATTTTTAAAAATATTCATGTACACTTTTTCTCAAGGTATTTACAATTTTAACTGATCAATTATCACAGGTTTTGTATTAATTAAGAATAGTTATTTTTGCATACATTGACAAAGCTATTTGTGTTAATTTAGAATGATGTAATGGTCTGTTTCTAATTAATATACATCTGGGACATCAGACTAATTTAAAACTATCTTCTCTCATTAGAGAAAAATTTATGTAATTTGAAAGGAACTTGGAGATGAATTTAATTAATTTGAAAGTGTTAGATTGTTTAAATAGAGCATATTTTATGAATTAAGAATAGAGCAATGTTTTATAAATTATAAAGTGGTTTCTATTGATTTTTATTTTGTAAACAAAAATCAGTAAATTATGATGTAACTTCCATCAGGTTGCTATGGTAACGTAGGTCACGTGAGCAGTCACGTTTGCGGGCAATTGGGTGGGATGGGGTGAGAGACAACATGCTGGAAGTGACTCATGCAGAGACTAGGTTAACATAACAATCGTTTAATTGGAAACAATAGGCATTACATGACATACAATTTGTTGATAGTGAGTATAATAGATGGGTTTTAATTAGTATTCCGCAGTTCTCAAGAGAGAGAGTTTACAGTGGTTTGCAAGTTGATAAATACCTGGAGTAGAGGATGTCCACGAGAGTTGAATTGGATGTTGTTAAAGTGGTGATTGTCTTTTTTTTATTATTATTATTATTATTATTGAGAAAGTTTATCCAAGAAGTTGTCTTTATGGCACAATGTTCTGCAATATCCAAGATGAGTAGGTGATATCCTGATGGGCACTGACACAGTTAATTGTTGGAGGAATTTCGGGATGACAGTACTCCTTGAAGAACGGGCGACTACTGACTCAATTTTTCAGTTCCTTGTTATCTTCAACTGATAAACTTAAGACAATAGGTAGGAAGGTTATGAGAAAGTGTCACTTTTGTTGCTGAGAACTCACTGAATGATTAGCTCCCAGGTGTGAAAGTTGACAGTTATCTGACAAAATGGTATTGTTAGGAAGTTATGTTATGATTTAAGTAAGTAAACAGATTACTTAGTGAGTCTCACAATGATCTTGTTTGATAAAATTTATCAAATAAAAAAATATTTGTAATCAAATTTTTCATATTATATATTGTATTGGGTTGTAATTTGAAAAAATTGTTAGACCTATAAATTCTCACTGTCGTCTGTCTGTCATTTCTTAATCTAGAGAACAGAGTTAGATAGATGAAAGCAGAGACCAGATATGGAAAGCTTAGGAACAGGAGATTTCAATTAACTACATAAGAACTTCCAGTTTGCACTGGAAGTCATGTTATTTTAATCCAAAAATTTTTTCCCAGAAGGCGTTAGACAGATGACTGGCACGACTCTATTGTTAGTAGGAAAGTATGATTATCGGGACAAGATAATACTAATTTATGATGGAGAGCATATATTTTAAATTAAATAAAGTAAAAATATGATTAAAAATTGCAGCCCAGCATTGTGACAATGTCACAGTAAATAATTGCTCATTTTATTTATATAATTGTTTATTATTATTTTTGAAGAAAAAATTTTTAAACTTTATAAAATATATATATTTTAATGTTTATAATAATTGCATATTATATATGCAAATGTGTCAACTTTGTGAAATTATGGAATTAAAGGAGTTTTAATTAATAAAATGCTCTTAAAATTTTTCTACTTCTAATTAAAACATGTGATATAAACTTGCTTTTATAATCTATATATTATATCAATTTCAATTTATTTTCAAACGACTCTATGACCAGTGGCCTTTTTCAAGAGTCAAAAAAAAGTAAAGATACACACACACAAAAAATGTACAATCAACAAAACAATAAAAAGAACAGAAGAAAAAAAACAAAAATAACAGAATAAAAATACACACAACTAGTCGCAGCTCAATAAAATAAAATTATTTGATTTAAAGAAAGTAGATTAGAATAGTGATTAAGAATTGATTTAGATAAATAAATTGTTTGTATAATTTTATAATCTACACTAGCAGACCCCGCCACGTGTTGTTGTGGCTCAAAACGTATCTATTATAAATTTATAACACTTCCCCCGTGGGGGGGGAATTTTTCGAAAAATTTCTTCTTAGTGTACATTCTCTTGACGTACCCTATTAAAACGCAATCAAAAACGCAAAAACCTGCATCTAAAATAATATAATAGAAGCCAAGTTCTTCACAGTAAGCCTTAATCCTGTCTCTCTCCCCCGCGGGGGAATATCGAAAAATTTCTTCTTAGTGTACATTCTGTTGACATACCCTATTAAAACGCAATCAAAAACGCAAAAACTCGCATCTAAAATAGTATAAATAGAAGCAGAGTTCTTTACGGTAAGCCTTAATTCTAACAATCTCCCTTCAGTGGGGGGAATTTTGACATGTATATTATATAAAAACATGTGCGTATTCGAATGCGGCGTTGTGTCAAAATTTCAAAGGAATCGGTAGGAACAAACAAACATTGCATTTTTATTTATATAGATGGATAGAAGATGATCTGCTTTAGTTCATTTTCACAGAAAAGCATAATGCCTCACAGAAAAGCAAATTTAGGGCGTCGTACTCGTAGTGCCATCTGTTGGACATAAAAGCCTTAACCTAGATTATATATTTTAATTTATATGAATGTTTAACGGAATAATATACAGCCTATGTCCACCCTGAGGTTCCATTCTANTGATAATTAAATGAATTTGTATTAAAATTTTAATTACACATTGAGTTAATTAACTATATTTATTTTCAGAATGGTATTGGAAATGTGTAATAAGAGTGTGGGGATTAAGAACTCTAGCTATAGTATTGGCAATATTCAGCATCATTGTTGTTTGGTCAGAAATGACATTTTTTACGACATCACCGACACTTTCGTTGTTTGCCGTTTTTGTGGAATTGGCTGGAAAACACTACAATTATATATTCATTGAGGTTATTATTATTATATTTTATATATATTTATATTTTTTAAATTTTAGCCAAACTAGTAAAATAATATCTTAAAGTAAGTTTATTTCAGGTAGTTGATTTATTTAAATTCCACTTAATTTGTTTTTTCATCTTTTTATTTGTTTGTTTATTTTTGGGAATTGGCATTTTCTAAATATGAAAGTGATTAAATATTAAAAATTTTAAAATAAAATTTAGTATAATTGCTTCAAATAAACATATTTAAAATATATTATAATTTAAAATCATTAAACTTTTTTTTATCTGTTCATAGAGATTCATTTTAAATAGTAAAAAAAGTATATTTTTAAAAATATTCATGTACACTTTTTCTCAAGGTATTTACAATTTTAACTGATCAATTATCACAGGTTTTGTATTAATTAAGAATAGTTATTTTTGCATACATTGACAAAGCTATTTGTGTTAATTTAGAATGATGTAATGGTCTGTTTCTAATTAATATACATCTGGGACATCAGACTAATTTAAAACTATCTTCTCTCATTAGAGAAAAATTTATGTAATTTGAAAGGAACTTGGAGATGAATTTAATTAATTTGAAAGTGTTAGATTGTTTAAATAGAGCATATTTTATGAATTAAGAATAGAGCAATGTTTTATAAATTATAAAGTGGTTTCTATTGATTTTTATTTTGTAAACAAAAATCAGTAAATTATGATGTAACTTCCATCAGGTTGCTATGGTAACGTAGGTCACGTGAGCAGTCACGTTTGCGGGCAATTGGGTGGGATGGGGTGAGAGACAACATGCTGGAAGTGACTCATGCAGAGACTAGGTTAACATAACAATCGTTTAATTGGAAACAATAGGCATTACATGACATACAATTTGTTGATAGTGAGTATAATAGATGGGTTTTAATTAGTATTCCGCAGTTCTCAAGAGAGAGAGTTTACAGTGGTTTGCAAGTTGATAAATACCTGGAGTAGAGGATGTCCACGAGAGTTGAATTGGATGTTGTTAAAGTGGTGATTGTCTTTTTTATTATTATTATTATTATTATTATTGAGAAAGTTTATCCAAGAAGTTGTCTTTATGGCACAATGTTCTGCAATATCCAAGATGAGTAGGTGATATCCTGATGGGCACTGACACAGTTAATTGTTGGAGGAATTTCGGGATGACAGTACTCCTTGAAGAACGGGCGACTACTGACTCAATTTTTCAGTTCCTTGTTATCTTCAACTGATAAACTTAAGACAATAGGTAGGAAGGTTATGAGAAAGTGTCACTTTTGTTGCTGAGAACTCACTGAATGATTAGCTCCCAGGTGTGAAAGTTGACAGTTATCTGACAAAATGGTATTGTTAGGAAGTTATGTTATGATTTAAGTAAGTAAACAGATTACTTAGTGAGTCTCACAATGATCTTGTTTGATAAAATTTATCAAATAAAAAAATATTTGTAATCAAATTTTTCATATTATATATTGTAAGGAAATTTAAATCTTTTAGAAAAACTGGTTTGATAATATAATGAATGCTTTGATCTATTGAAAACTTTCCTACAGATAAGTTTTAAATTTTTCATGAAGCTAAAATAGCTATGATGATCAATCCAAATACACTCACTGCCAAAAGTTAAGCACGGAGCGATAAACTGCAAAAAAATCGACAAGTACAGCTGTGATTGACACGAAATGCAGCAGGACAGTAGCAAATATGTTTATGCATGAAACAACACAAAGAATTACATAGAAAAATGAAAACAATATTGAATTTTNAATTCTAGTTCATAAACTAAATATTCATTCATAGAAGAAATGAGAATTTAAATAGGAAAAATTTGTCTGAATCTAGAATACAATTTGCATCTTTTACTCATTTTAAATTTACTAACTAACCAAAAAATTGAGTCAGTTATGTTTTAGCTAATTAGATGCACAAATTACAGTGGTATCTCAGGATACAAAATTAATCTGTTCCGAAACTGAGATCGTATCATGAAAATGTTGTAAGGTGAATCATTTTTCCCTGTACGATTACACATAAAATCAAATAATTCGTTCCAACACGAAAAACACACTCAAATTAAAGCTAAGTAGTACATTAAAAAAAATAACTATAGTAAGGAAAACACTGAAAAATGCGTTTTGTAGCTGTAAATGTATAAATAACAATAATAGAATAATAATTGATAAAAAAAAATGTAGTTTTATTTGCACTTTACCTTTGAGGATAGACGACGGCAGAGGTATAAGCTGGTGGCAGAGGAGAGGGAGAAGGGAAATGATACTAAAACTTAACTTACATAACAAAATGTAACAATAACTTAAAAATAACTTAGAAAAGATTTAAAAAAATTAGTGTTGTTTTATATATATTTTTTTAAAATTTTTATTCACTGCTTTTTGTTTTCTTTCCTTCACTTCCACTAGCACTTTCACTGGATACAGGTCGCTCAGTAAAATATCTATCCAAAGAGGTTTGGCTTTGCCTACTTTTTAAAATGTTTCTAAAATGACTTAGGCAAATATCATTAAACTGAGCAGCAATACAGCCAGTGTGAACTTTTTCGGGATGTTTCTTTTCAACAAAATCAGTCACTTTCCGATAATACCTCGAGATTTCCTTTATCGAGCGAGATCTTTCCACAACGAAGCAAACATACGGACCGAGACCAATGAACAGAAGTGAATAAAAAATGGTACTGCGAACTAACGTAACGTCGTATGGTGAGTTTTTGTTCGTATCGTGGAGCAAAAATATGTTTGAATTTCATGTCATATCCTGAAAATTTCATACACTGGGGCATTCGTATCCTGAGGTACCACTGTACTTAGAACTTGTATATTTTAATTAAAATGTAATCCAATAATATATCTAGCTTCATTTTTTTAATATATGTAATATGATTTGGGCTTGATTCCATTATGATTATTTACTATTTATTCATTTAAATTATTTATTCTTTCTTCTCTTGATTTTCACTCTTTAAAAAAGTTTAATTTTTGTCTTAATTATAATAGGTTATTTCTTTAAAACTTCTCTTTAAGATTTTGATGATTATTAAATATATAACTGAGATTTAAACTTTATTTTAATTGTACTTTTGTGTTATTTATTAAATATTTCTGTACAGAGACATATTTTATTACATGAATATTACTTTGAATAATTAAGATTTTGTAAATTAATATAAATTAAATAACATTTATTTAATTAACTTGAGTAGAACTTAGTTTTAGTTTATGTATATAGAATATTAAAGTAATTTTTAAAATGTAATTTTAATTTTTCAGATAATTTCTATTTTCACTATTGCTTATTTGTGTGTTTGTGCGTATTATACGGTTTTCAAAGTTCGTGTCTTAAATTATTATTATCTTGCTCCACATCATCAAACAGATGAATACAGCCTTATTTTCAGTGGAATGTAAGTAATATTTAAATTAATATTGTGGTCTTTAGCTAACTGTGAGAAATAATGTTACTAAGTACTGTAGGGTTTCACCATGCATGACTCTGCCATACACATTCCAACTCCTTATGTAAGCATAAATTCACAAAAAATAATGAGCCTGATTAATTATTGAGTACTTCATATACTAACATACCTATCACACTTTTGCTTTATATATATAAAGCAAATAAATATATTAACAATAAATAGCATAATATTATAAATAATGAAACTAAAAAAATTATTATAAGCAGACTTTTCTCTTTTCTCAGATTGAAAGGAAAAAGTAAGCACTTTACTTTTCTTTGGTTTATCAGAGCTACTAGTATTACTACTATTGCATTTTGGAGCCATGTTTGTAAAGAAATTGGCATAAATGAAAACAAACAGAAATACTGATAATACAATGATGACTTGACAAAGAACAAGAACAAGCAAGAACTCCAGATAAAGGCTGATGCCTGTTCCACTTTAAAATTAAATCTGAACCATTTTTTAAGGAGAAACTTCATGCACCTTAAAAAAATGGCTCAGATTTAGTACACAATAAGAGTATTTTAAGTATTTTCTTTTTATCTGCAATAGTGTAAACATGAAACCATATATAGCAGGACCCTACTTTACTTGTATGTAGTTATCTAGTATAACATCTTTTATGATTATTTATTTTAACATATATAATTATAATAATTTTATTACTTTTTTAATAAAAACTAATTTTAGAAATTATTACCATATTTTTACAGAGTGACCAGCATGCCACATATAAATGGGAGAGCCAGAAAATATTAAATTAATCTGATGTAGCAAAACTAGTTGTTAATTAAACATTAAAGAGAACATTTTTCCAAGTACAATAAAATAATAGCATTGTAATTTGGTAATTTGACCAATTTAAAATCTGGAAGACAGTTTTCATTTACAAGACAATAAAACAATTAACAACTTATTGACATTAACAGTAGTAGTTAGTGTGAGCTACACTGACCATCTACCCTGACCTTAAAAATAACGTCTTCCTCTCAAATTTCAGGCAAAAGCATGTTAATAGGTGTAAGCTGAGATAATTTACAGTGCGTTTCTTAAATTTAATATGTTTATTTTTGCATTTTTGAATCAAATAACAATAAAATACACACAAAAAAATCACTTTCAGAATTCCAAAAGAACATCCCTAGAAGAATTACATCCCTTGAAAGAGGACAAAATGAAGAAATTAAACATATAATCATAATTTTTGATGTAATTCTTACAGTTTCACAGTTTTAGAATAAAAACTCATTCATTTTTACCTGACGTAAATCATTTGTTTTTTTTTATGCGTCTATAGAGAGGGATGTATAACCTCACTTAAACCTGCATGCAGGTTTTTACATATGGAAATATCTGATTTCATGGTCTCCTCAGATAGACCATCATGCCAATCATTCTGTGAAAATATAGTAACAAATTTCAATGAATTAAAACAATTTCATTTCAGAATCAAACAAGTAAAATGGCAAAACTGTTTTTGAGACAAGACTATGTCTCAGAGAAGCACTACTAAGCAGAATCACTTTGATCTTGAAGGCGGTCTTGTTCTCATTCTCCTATCTTCTTTGATATCGCTGCTTTTGGGCTCGATTGTTCAAATTTCGCCAGTCGTTCAAACATAGTCATTCAAACTCACGACCATGAGATCATCCACAATGCATCTTCAATGAAATTAACCTATCTAATTTCAAAATTTCTCTCCGTTGCATGTTGGCCTGGGTTGAATTTTTGTCGATGTGTAACAAAAAGTTCCTGTTTTTGAAAAAAAATAATCGTGGCTATTGTATAATCCAAAATTATTTATTATTTTGCACGAATAATATACAGTTTAACCTGATTATAATGTCATCAAATGTAACGACAACCCTAATATAACTGTCAAATTTTTATTGGTCCTACGATTCTACTATACTAGATAATGTTAAAAAAACCTCACTTGTAACAACATAAAACCGTTTTAACATCATATTTGAAGCACTCCCAAATTTACAAAATTAGATTACAAATTTTATTTAACATAGAAGAAACTACGTGTTCGGTCCTAAGGCCAGAGTTCACTTCTTAGAATGACTGTGGATGGTACTCTCCCCTATCTGACTTCGGTGGGGTGAGGTGGCTGTTTTGCCTGTTTGTAGAACAGGGTCGCCATTTTGTATTTTATTTTGACTCGATTCTCGGTCCCCCGACTACCTACGAGTCTGGATTTTTTATGCACAAATGATTTGGGAACCTAATACTCTGTGCCAAATATCAACTCTCAACATGTACTCCTTCATACCTCTATGCTAGTAAGAATATCGGGCAGTACAATTTTATAAACAAGATATAGTCTTGTCAAAAAAGTGCTAAAAATTTTCATTCCTTGTGGAACTAGTTGATGTACAAAGAGAGACTTTTGCAAATATACATGCTGTGTGTAGTGGCCTGAACAGAGTGAGCATGTATATATATATATATTCAAGTTTGGCTCATTGTAGTATGTTTGTATATTTATAGACAAATGTGAAATGTTACAGACATCTAGGGGCATCTATTAACAGATATATAAAATTATTTTTTCATGTGGTTTTTTAAGTTTTGTGAGATTTAGAATAGAATTTTCTAGCATAAAGACAAAAGTGGCATCTAGGAGTAATTTCTACTCGCTGTCTCTTCCTGAATAATTGGATTTTTTAACACAATCAGATCAGAAGAAAATATTGTCTAGTTTATTAAGTAGGAATTAGAAGATGAGATATTAATTTTTTTGTAAGTGTTATATTTTTTAAAATTAGGAGGATGTTAAAGTTCCTGAATACTGTTTCAAGATTATTAGTTGATTAGTTTGTCATAAATTGTAATAAATTTAATCAATTTGATGATTTAAAGATTGTGATTTAATAATTGTATATTTTTAACTTAAAACTGTGTTTAAAATAATGTGAAATAATTTTTAAAATGTATTTATTCTCTCTGAAACGACATCATTTGGAATACTAATCTTTAAAAATATTCTTAATTCAAAAGTTTCTTTTTAACCTTCAAAAGTAAATCTTTTAATGCCAAAACATTTGATATTGATATACATAAAAATAAAATGACCAATTCCTCACCATTATGCTCATAGACGTCTGTTTTTTAAAACCTTCAATTAAATGTTTTTCGAGAAAGTCATTTCTCATCTAAAGGTCAACCTATATTTTCAAATCAAAACAGTTTTGACTTTGGAATGTCATCTATAAACTTTCAAGTCACTATAATGTTAAAAATTTAATTTGATTTTTGATTTTTCATCAGCATAACATGACATTATCACAGCGAATGAGTTTTAAAACATAATGTCTGTCACTGTGTGTTATTGACCTCACTTTGCCTGCTATATTATGTATTTTGGCATAAAAAAGATGATAGAAGAATTAAATCAGAATTTTATATTCCAAATATACATAAAAAGAGAACTTTAGCTTTATAACTGTTAGAGTACTTTATAAGCTTGTTTTAGTTGTGTTCTGGAGGAGAAGAAAAAAGGATAAAAAGAAAGGAATGCTCATTCCTAATCCAAAAGGTGATACTTTGCTTACTACATAGACCACTAGGGTCCTGTGACAGCCACAATTAAAAACAATATAAGTATTTTATTATCATGATTAATGGCTTCATGAAGTTTACTTGGATATATCCAAGTAAACTTCATGAAACCATCAAGGATGCTTAACGGTTAAGAAGTTAAAGATCAACTAGTCTCACAAGAGACTTTTGGAAATCCACATCATATTATTACAGATAGAAGAGGCAACTTTAGATCAGATGCTTTTAAGAAGTATTGCCTTGCAGAAAATATAGATTGTGTGTTTACTGTAGCCCACATGGAGGTCCTTTTGGTCCACGTGGTATAGCCCACTGGCAGGTCCTTTTGGATGGGACCTCCACAGTCCCATCCAAAAGGACCTGCCAGAATTCTTGGGGCCTTATTGCATAGCAAAGGTAAAAGGTAACAACCACTATGAAATCACAAAGGTAGGTGACTGAGAAGGGCCCTCGAAAGCCTCTTCCGTCTCAAATTTTATGAAACCATTTTCCCTTGGAGACTGAGGAGTTGTTGGGGGAGGTCAAATGTGGGCCCAAACATCCCAATGCAAGGATCTGCCTGATTTAAGGATAAGGAAAACAAAATTTGTGAAGTTAAGAGAGGAAAGATAGGAAAAGGAGATCAAGGACAGACCAGGACATTGTGGTGTGGAAGTGGACATTATCTTGTTCTTGTCTGTTGACTTTTCATATCCTACATATACAGTATATATATTGTATCTGAAATATATAATATATATTCTATTTGTTGAGAAATTGTATAAAGAAGATTGAATATAAACCAGAAATGATTGGACTTATTAAAACAAAAAATTTTTTATTGCTTATATTGATTTCTTTAATGTGAATTTTACTTTTTTTTTTGATGTATGTAAATAAAATTTGCTATAATAAATTTATACTTTCTTAATAATTTACTGTAATTATAAAAAAATGTTTGTTAAAAGTTTTAAAGTTTTATCATTTAAATTAAGACTAATATTTTTTTAATTTAAAAATGATAAGTTTTTTCCATTTTAAGTATTTATTATTTGATATATTAATAATTTAAAATTTGATTATTAGAATGTTAAGATGCACAAATTTTATTAAAATATATTTTTTTATAAATTATTTTTAGGTTATTATGTCGCTTAACTCCTCCTCTATGCTTGAATTTCCTCGGTCTTATCCACTTGGATAGCCACGTTTCTAAGAATCCTTCTTTTGTTGAGACATCATACACAAAAGTAAGATTTGATTTTTAAAAGTATATTTTAAATATTTATAATGTTTAAAAGATCAGATAAGGTATAAAAGTTGATTGTTTGTTTTAATTTCTTCCAGATAAATCATCAAAAATGTTTATCTAAGCACAAAAATGTTTTGGCTTTAATTTTTTTGTTTATTTTCAAGATCTCTTAATAACTTAAAATATTCAGAGATATAACTAGAAATTTCTGATTGTGGGTCACCCACAATCAGAAATTTCTAGACATAGTTTGCGTAGACATGTAATAGGTAGGTAGATTATGTAAAAATAGCACATTCAAGATCACTAAAAGCATGTTATTGTATAAGGAACTGTCACATCGGTAAGGCAACTCCTTATGTGTCATATGCAAATCAGTAATACTGTATTGTGACAATGCTCAATAAACAAATAAATAAATGGCAAAACAAGAACAGGTATTAAATTTATTCTTTTTTACCTCATGGCTATTTATGCAGCCTAGTATTTGAGACTGATGTGTCTGTTTTCTGTTTCATCCAGTGATCAACTGCTTTGTGACTTTTTTGCATGTTTAGTTTTAAACTTGTATGGAGTCAGCAGTGAGGGGTGGATGTGTATTAGTGTGGGAAATGCCATTTCTTGCCACCCCATGTGGCTACTTCCTTGAATTTTCTATCTGAAGATGAAGTAATATCTATTTATATACTTTTAATTTTAATTAATTAAAACCCCTTAAGCCCTTATCCCGAGTTAACTTGGGCAGGTTACATAGCGTTACAGAAAAATCGGGTTTTTAGACCCTGTGACAATTACACATTTCTAGTTTTATTTGGATTTCTTTAAAATTATTACATCTTTTATAGATTTTATATTATATTAATCATAAGATTGAATAATATTACTATGTATTATTGTTTATTTTTGTTAATGTTTTATTTTTTTATTTTAAAGTTATCTTTTTAGATTATTATTATATTATTTTTAAAGTTAAATATTTGTATTTCTTGTTGAAATTGAAATGTTTTTAATTACATTAATAAAATTATATAAATTAAAATGTCAAATAATCAACCAATAATCGCCTAAATGATTGAGCTATAATATGGCTGTAATCAAATAATTAATATAAATAAATTTTCTATTAGAGATAGATGTTACATGCCATCTCTTTTCTAAATTAATAATTATAATTTTAATAATTTAATAAATAATTTAGAACATTCTGGAAGAAAAAAACTGACTCAGGGTAGGGCATGAACTTGTAGCCTCTGCTTGCCATGCAGTGCACTACCAATTGTGCCACCCCAACCCTGAGTAAGCCTTCACTTCCAGAAGTATTTAAATTTTGATATAATCTTCCACTGTCTACCTTTAATAGCAAATTTATTTATATTAATTATTTGATTATAGCCATATTATAGCCCAATCATTTAGGTGATTATTGGTTGATTATTACTCATTGAGCTTCGGGATGTGTATTATATTAAAATGTCAAAACAATCAAACTACAATTCTGTGGCCAACTGTTTTTAATATGTATGATATACTTATCTAATTAAATGGCAAATACCAGAGCAAGGAAAACTGATAGATACAAAGTACAAGGGATATTTTTTAAATAAGGTCTGTTTTTTTAATAAGAAGAAAGATACTGTAAATATCATTAAAATATATTTTTTCCCATATTCTACATACTTTTATCTACTTTTCTGCATAATTTCCATTTTTGTTCAAATATTTGTCGTACCGCTCAAAAATTTTTAAAATTCTGACTTCAAAGAAATCTGCTGCCTGTCGTTGGAAGACATTAGACCATGCCGCTTGTCTTGTATGGCATGGCAGAGTTTTCTGAAGGTCACAATAAGCATCAGAATTGATTGTTGTACCTCTTGGCATAAAATCCACTAACAAAGTCCTTTTCTTGTCCCAAAAGACAGTTGCCATGATCTTTCGTGCTGAAATCAAATAACAGATCGTATCTTACAGTTGACGGGCGACTCAATTTTCTTAAACATTATAAACTTCTACAATTTGGCACACAGACAGACGATACGGATGCAAATGGCATCTAAACACGTGCAAAACATGCTGAAAGCAGATGCTCATGCACACTGCTGTAATCACGTGTCATTCTCACTCTCATTCACAAACGGACTTTATTTAAAAAATAGCCCTTGTATATTTCAAATTAATCAGAACTAATTAATTCTGTATATTTCATATATACATTGTGTGTATTAGTAAATTTATTTTCCTTTATTTGAATATCATATAGAATGTAAGAAAATTTTGCCTTTATATGTATGTTATGGACCAAGTGATTAATATGGGCATTATTTATATTGACAAACAAAATCAGCCTTTGTAATAAATTTTTTGTTCTATATCATAATTTGTCACATTGATGAGTCAGTATGAATATTGATATCATCTGGTTGGGCAAAAGTGATGACGAAACCTTGAGGAGTGATCATTTGACAGACTATACCACATACTGTTTTGTGTACTGTATATCAAAAATGACATTCCAGAAGTTTCCTTTAAGTTAATTTTTATGATCAAAATATATAATTTTGTTAATAATACACCTGTCACTCTTTTCATGCAATTTTGAAATAATGTAGTTCACAAAAAAAGCTAATTTTTTTTACATGGGGGAAAACAGTTTATTGAAAATTTTTTAAATTTAGCTTTTTGATAAAAGTGTGTTATTATTAAAAAAAAAAAGTCACTCTTATTGTAGAAAGATTTGTTTTAAAAATGTTTTTAAATAAAGACTTCATTTATCTTTNCTCTGCTTGCCATGCAGTGCACTACCAATTGTGCCACCCCAACCCTGAGTAAGCCTTCACTTCCAGAAGTATTTAAATTTTGATATAATCTTCCACTGTCTACCTTTAATAGCAAATTTATTTATATTAATTATTTGATTATAGCCATATTATAGCCCAATCATTTAGGTGATTATTGGTTGATTATTACTCATTGAGCTTCGGGATGTGTATTATATTAAAATGTCAAAACAATCAAACTACAATTCTGTGGCCAACTGTTTTTAATATGTATGATATACTTATCTAATTAAATGGCAAATACCAGAGCAAGGAAAACTGATAGATACAAAGTACAAGGGATATTTTTTAAATAAGGTCTGTTTTTTTAATAAGAAGAAAGATACTGTAAATATCATTAAAATATATTTTTTCCCATATTCTACATACTTTTATCTACTTTTCTGCATAATTTCCATTTTTGTTCAAATATTTGTCGTACCGCTCAAAAATTTTTAAAATTCTGACTTCAAAGAAATCTGCTGCCTGTCGTTGGAAGACATTAGACCATGCCGCTTGTCTTGTATGGCATGGCAGAGTTTTCTGAAGGTCACAATAAGCATCAGAATTGATTGTTGTACCTCTTGGCATAAAATCCACTAACAAAGTCCTTTTCTTGTCCCAAAAGACAGTTGCCATGATCTTTCGTGCTGAAATCAAATAACAGATCGTATCTTACAGTCGACGGGCGACTCAATTTTCTTAAACATTATAAACTTCTACAATTTGGCACACAGACAGACGATACGGATGCAAATGGCATCTAAACACATGCAAAACATGCTGAAAGCAGATGCTCATGCACACTGCTGTAATCACGTGTCATTCTCACTCTCATTCACAAACGGACTTTATTTAAAAAATAGCCCTTGTATATTTCAAATTAATCAGAACTAATTAATTCTGTATATTTCATATATACATTGTGTGTATTAGTAAATTTATTTTCCTTTATTTGAATATCATATAGAATGTAAGAAAATTTTGCCTTTATATGTATGTTATGGACCAAGTGATTAATATGGGCATTATTTATATTGACAAACAAAATCAGCCTTTGTAATAAATTTTTTGTTCTATATCATAATTTGTCACATTGATGAGTCAGTATGAATATTGATATCATCTGGTTGGGCAAAAGTGATGACGAAACCTTGAGGAGTGATCATTTGACAGACTATACCACATACTGTTTTGTGTACTGTATATCAAAAATGACATTCCAGAAGTTTCCTTTAAGTTAATTTTTATGATCAAAATATATAATTTTGTTAATAATACACCTGTCACTCTTTTCATGCAATTTTGAAATAATGTAGTTCACAAAAAAAGCTAATTTTTTTTACATGGGGGAAAACAGTTTATTGAAAATTTTTTAAATTTAGCTTTTTGATAAAAGTGTGTTATTATTAAAAAAAAAAAGTCACTCTTATTGTAGAAAGATTTGTTTTAAAAATGTTTTTAAATAAAGACTTCATTTATCTTTTGAAGTACAATGCGGTACTGTATGTATCAGAGAATATTGTATGTTGATTTTATGTTTCCTATGCTATCTTGTGTTTACTATATTTATATGAATAATGTTAATGATAAATGATGATAGAATAAAAAAGCTTACATTTCTTTGGTAAAATGCTTAGTTTTTTGTTTCATTGAAGCTGTAGATCTTACCAAGCATTTAGAAAAATACTTGATAAGATGTATTTGCTGTGATTTTTTTAAGCAATATGTTTTTTATGCAGCATTCTTTGGAATATATCCACTGTTCAAAAAAGCAATAGGTGTACTTTTTTCAACATTAGTTTAGTTATTACAGTTAATAATACTTAATACTTACTTTTAAAAAATAATCCACTTTGTAAATGAAATTTTCACAAATTATTTTGTAGAAAGCTATGTGCAAAGAAATTACTGAAGTATACATTTTTTTTATGATTCTAATTTTTATAGTGTTTATTAGAGTTTTATGTAATTAATATACCTATATTAATATTACGTATAAAATAGAATGTGTTCTTAAAATACTTTGAAATAAATTTTTTTAAAATCAAATTTTTCAAATATAATAATGTAGCTTTATTTATAATGACTGATCAGTTTAATAAATTATGGTATTCAATATTTATCAGACTGTGCGGCTTTCTTAGGTATTATAAATAATGACCAATTAGTCACTTTATCCATAACATTTATACATACCAAGTGATGAAATGAAAAAAAATACTGTGAGGAGTAAATTCAGTTACACTTCAAGTCAGCCATACTTGTTGCTGCACTACTTTACATGATAAGGAATGCAAATCTCAAACATTTACTTACTATGGACTTCGTGGATAATATTTGAAACTCTTCATTGTTGATCAAGTCTCTTCCTACCAAATACACTTTTTATAAACAAAATTACGACTTACTTAAGCCTGTAACCGATGCAAAATCGTAAAATATTAACGCACAAATGTTTTCGGAACACCTTCCGTGTTCTTCCTCAGATTTTCAAACTGGATTTTTTATATTCTTGAACACCGCTATGAAATTTTTCAAAAAACGAGTGATGATATTTTGAACGCTCAGTGTCCATTGCGCACGCGTTGTACACGTTGTGTTTCTGGTTGTTCAGAGTCCCATTCAATCTTCTAATCATTATGTAATTTCTCTCGTTATTCATACGATGTAGTATTCTAGCCTTCCACATGACGTGGAAGGCTAGAAATGTGTAAAATTTCGTAGCGGTGTTCCAGAATATAAAAAATCCAGTTTGAAAACCTGAGGAAGAACACGGAAGGTGTTCCGAAAACGTTTGTGCGTTAATATTTTATGATTTTGCATCGGTTACAGGCTTAAGCAAGTCATAATTTTGTTTATACAACCCGGTGTGCTTGTAGGAGTTATTTACACTTTTTATTTTATGAACCCATCTAATGTGTGTATATAAAAGTGGTAATTAATTTTATTCCTTTTAATATTTTAAAAATAGCAAAATGAATCCTCAACTACTTACTTTAATAGAAGATACTTGAAATACTTGTTTTAAAAAAGTATTTTAAAAAAGTTGTTTTATTCATTTTTTCTTTTTACTTGTTAAGTATCAAAAACAATAACTTTAAAAAGTTAGAGGATGATCATTTTTGATAAGTTACCATTGAGTAGGCTTACCATAATATTTTTTCTCAAACCAGGACAATTTTGGAAAAATACTTGCAACAGAAAATTAAGCCTACTAGGATAAGTACCTATGATTGAAAAGGCTAAATAAAGTAGTTATTAACAAAAACAACGAGTTAAAAGCAATTTTTAATAACAGAACTAAACATATCTTATTATTAATATTTATCACTAGTGTGAACTTTTTTAAAAATTCTTTGTTACTTAAATCGGTACATTTAAAATGGATAATACATTTGAGAAAGTTCCTGTTGCTATGCCTCACATTTCAAGTGATTTTTAATGTTTGAATGCCTGCCATGAGTTACTGAAAATTCTAAAAGCACAGTTCATATTTCACTTCATCAATATGATCACAAACTTTTTTCAATTATCAGTAAACACACGGGTTCTTTTTGGCATTTTAGAGAGTAAATGAATTTAATATACTGTACAAAATAATTTCAAATGCCAAACAGCAACTTGTACTCAACTAAGATATGACATGTGCAGCAATGACGTCGCCAGTGTAAGTTTCAGTCATGCCAACTCTAATTGAAACAAAATATCTAAAAAAAATGAAATAAAAATATCTGGATCTCATAGGCTGCATGCTATTATAAATTCTGTGAAAAAATATATGGATGACAAAATAAAACATCTAAATTCATTAGGCCATATGCTATAAATTTTTGAGGAAAATATCTAGACAACATTAAAAGTACTTAGATCTAGATATGAAATATTTAGATTGGCAACAGTGAGTGTAACAGCGGGCCAAATCGCCATTTTACTCAAGACTGCACTATTTTTACTTCTTAAATATTCAGCACTTTTAAAATTTTACCAAATAACTGGGACAAAATGACAAATTGGCCGGGACACTGGGACAATCCCGGACAAAACGGGACGTCTGGTAAGCCTACCATTAAGGAATTCAGTACTTAGAGCTTGATTGATGAAGCATTTGAAAGATTTTACATTCATTACAAATTATAAATCATCATAAAATATACAAAAAATAATAATTATAGTTTGTACTCATTTAATTTTAGATAATTGTGGAAAGAAACTGATTTAAAAAGCTCAAAATAGCACAAGTTTCCATTCTGTTTCTTTTAAACTTTTCTAAATTAATTTTTGTAATTAAAATTTTTTGTTAGCTGGAATCTACTTTGTAACAAATTCATTTAATTAATAATAAAGTTTCTAGTTAACTATTCAAAAAAGTATTACATTTAATAATTTCTTATATATCACTTTGAATAATTGTTCTAGCATTACGACAAATTTTAGAATAAGTTACGATAAAATATTTTACTTATCAATAACCAGTCTGTATGGAAGATATAGAAATTATTCTTAAATTAAAATTTTAAGTCCATTATAAATTTTTAAAGAACAATCAAAAAATATATGAAGAGGTGAGTGGAAAAGTAGTATAAGTGACAGAATAGTTTGATTATTAAAAATACAAAAATAGATTTATTTATTTAATTTTATAAAATATGATTTTTTAATCAATATTAAATTTTATTATTATTATATTCAAGTTATACTATTTATCGTTTGTACCACTTTTCCACTGAACCTCTTGTGATTGTGAGGAAAAATAATTAAAGCACAAAAAGCAAACAAATAGTTTTGTCTTCATTATTTTGGATTTTTTGGATAAAGTTCCATAATACAAAATTGAAGAATTACAGTATTAAATTGAAAGTATATATTTTTTTCATGCTTTAAATTACTGTTTTTTAATGTTGTACAGTTATTAAATTTGGAAGTTTTTAATTGGAATTCTCAAATTTTAAAAAATTTAATAAAATTATATGAATATTTTTCTATTATTTACTATATTTTACTTATGTTGTTTAAAATTAGTAAAACAATGAGATTTGAAGATTCAATATTAATTTATTGATAAAACTTTTTTAGATAATGGGTCATATGGATGTTATTTCTATTATATCCGATGGTTTCAACATTTATTTTCCAATGGCTATTTTTTTATTATGCTTGGCAACTTATTTTAATTGTGGAAGTAGAATTCTTCATATGCTGGGCTTTGAGCAGTTTTTGGGAGATGACGAAATGACATCTGACCTGATTGAAGAAGGAAGAGAACTCATAAAACGAGGTAATAATATAATATTTGTATAATTATATTATTATTTTGTTTATATAAATAATATATTATCGTTTCAAATAATTATATAATTTAGTTAAGACTATATGACATAAAAATGATTTTAAATAAATCAAAGTAACACTTATAGTTATTATTATGAAGAAAAGGTTAATTGTTTAAAATATAAACAATATTGTCAGTGTTAATTAGTAATGTAACTGTATTCATAAATATAATTGAATTTAATTAATTTAAATATAACATAAAAATTTACTTAATAAATAAATAAGACTAAGAATTTCACAAATTTTTAATAATAGTGTTAAATTGGTTATCAACATCATACATATTTTAATATATTTATCAAGATCAAAGGTAATTATAAGATTCTAGGTTTGGACAATCATCTGTTTTTTAACCATACATATGATTTCATTGTTAATATATAACTTTACTTTGGAAAAATACTGAATTAATTCTTCTATTAGAAATGTTTTGTTTATTATGTATTTAGTTCAAAACATCAAAGAAATGGATTTCAAAATAGAAAACTTTTTATAGAAAATCAATTAATTAACATTATTAATTTAAGAGTGTGAATATTTAATGATTTTAAATGAAATGATCAACATATCATTTTCAAAAGTAATTGAATTGTTGTTCTTATTTCTATTTAAGCTTAATTTGAGATTGTTGAATTTAATACAATTTATAAATGAAACAAAGAAACGAAAGTATATTTTTAAATAAAGAATATTGATTTTTTAAAAATAATAATAATTACATATATTTTAACTTTAGTTTTTTTTTTTATTTTTGAAACAGATGATTGTTAATAAAAATGAGTTAGGATATGAAATTCTACAAAAAAAAGTCTTTGTTTTGTTCAGTTTCTATTAGGTTTTTTTCTGTATCTTTTGCAAACATTTATTACTAAAAATCAATATGATGAACAGTATAATTAATATTAGAGCATACAGAATAAACATGAATTCTTGATTTATGGTGAATTAAAATGAAGGAAGAAAATACTTTTGTAGCGCATCTTTTAATATTTAAAAACATTTATAATTAATTTAAAAATAAAAATATTGATGTTTTAAAACTTACATTTACTTTTAAAATATACATTTTTCTGATATTAATGGTTTTATGACATTTAATCTTTGACACTATGATTAATTGCAATCAGTATGTTATGTTAGATATATAAATTTTATATTTAAGATTTTGTTTATTCTTGCATTTATAAATATAAAATTGTAATCTAAATAAACTGAAATATGTTAAATTTATTTAGAAATAGAATAATATATTGCCTTAAAAAAATTTGAAAAAGAAAAATTTTTGATATTACATAAATTTTGTTATTGTTATCAATTCTATGACTAAAGCTAGAAAAACAAAAACATCATAAATAAATCTTTTTATCACTAACATTTTCAATCTTACTAAAAGGTCTTTTAATATACATTGGTGCCTCTTACTTTGAATTTAATTCATTCCAGGAGGATGTTCAAACTCCGAATTGTTTGTAGTATGAGGCAATTTTTTCTCATTAGAAACAATGGAAAGTGAATTAATTTATTTATGGACCCTAAACAATACCAATTTCAATAAACTTAAAGCTGCAAATATCTATAATTTAAGGTAAAAATAACACATTACATTACATTACATTACCTTAAAAGAGTAGAGAGGTTGTCTGTATATTCACAGAATTTATCTCTAAGAAATTAGAAGTGTTGAAATTGAAATCAGAAGAGGAAGTGATAGTAAGTAGGGAGGGAAAGATTGAAGGGAAGTGTCAGATCATTGAGCGTCTGCATCAGAATTGTTGAACAAGTAAAATATAGTGACAAGACAAAATATGTTCAGTAAACAGTATAAAAACAAACATGACAAGTTTGCGCGTGCGAGTGAATGTGTACAGCAAAGGGGGGAACAGATACAAAGTTTCAACAATTACAAAGTATGCTGTAAATTGGGTTGACAAAGAGATAAAACATTATAAAATTTAGCATTAATAACATTGAAGAATCTAGTAGATATAAACCCAGTGGGTCTAATTTGCATATGCCAGTACAGTCAAATCGCGGGTTGAACAAATTGGGCGAGTAGCCGGCCTACCTTAAATGATATCAGCCAGTCTATTATTGGTCCAGATGTGGGATGTGGCCGTGTCACTCATCTCGCTGGCTACTGGAATTCGTGGGCCTGAGTTTTTTTGTATTGCGTATGAAATTCTTCATTTTTGTCCATAGGTTTTTGTTATTAAGAATGTCTGCAGGATTGGGGAGCCAGTTGAGTCCTGTTTGGAGACATTCTTGGAAGAGTTCTGCATGTTGGTTGTATTTGTTGCAGCTGAAGAGAAAATGTAGCACATCGTCTTCACTCTGTCCATCACAATCGCAGGTGCTATCGATCTGCTTACCAAAACGGTGCAGGTATGATGCGAAGTTCCCGTGTCCTGTAAGGCACTGGGTCACCTCTGCATCTGGGCTGAAGTATTTGGTTATTTTAAGATGCACAAGGGAAGGTATAAAGTTGTGACACATCCTTCCTGTACCAGCGCAGTCCCACTCCTTCTGCCACATATCATTAGCTATGTGTTGTAAGTGATGTTTCAGGGAAATTGCAGGTAACTTCTTGTAGGTGAGTTTTGAAGACAATGTGCAGGCTGACTTGGCCAACTTGTCGGCCAATTCATTACCTTCGTGGCCCTTGTGAGCTGGGATCCAAGTAAACTGTAGGTTACAGTTTCTTCCCAGGTTTTGAGCAGCCTTTATCACTTCAGCAGCTAGAACAGATGATTTCTTTTGGTAGTNTCCAGGTCCCAACTCTGGTACAGTTCCCCAATGTTGTCTTCCTTTACACGGTTGTATCTTACGTTACAAAATCGTATCACCACAACACAGGGATTACATATATTACACTTGCAGCACATACAAAAAAGGGAGAACTTTTATCGCATATATAATTAACTTAAATCTAAATCCTTAAACTAATTAATACTAAATACAGAAAACAGGTAGATAGAGCAAGATTAAGGAGGGAAAGAAGAATTTTTAGGAAAGAGGATACCCACATGTCTTTCAATGAGGCAACTTGAATCCAATCACAATGTCCTTCCAAAATATTCTCCTAATTCTCTCATTTTCCCAAATAACTTTGAGGTTGCTTCTGAAGGGTTTCCCACACTCCAATTCTGATTTTGATCCTATTTTATATGTGCTAACCTCCTATATCTAAGGTCGCACTCTATCACTCCTGATACTGCCCTAATGACCTGGAGCTCATCTTGAACACATCTTACTTCTTCAGTGCCTTGCTAAAAAGTGTCCTAACCACTTGGATTTTGCCCTCAGAGCTCTCTTCTCCATATTGTTCATTGCCTACACTCTCACCCTTGGAAGTAGGTTGGGTAAGAATGTTCTAGAAGCAGGGAAACAAAAGAAACAAAGAATAAAGAGGAATAGATAGAATTGAGAGAGAAAATATAACAATATAAAAAAATAAAATAAAATAAAATAAAAAAATATACACGGAATATGGCATTCCACCATACTATAAAACATTGAGGACAGTGAAGATTTCTGTTGATTCGTATTAGTAAATGAAGATACACATTAATAATATATTTTGACAAGAAGAAGAAGAAAGATATCCAAGAAGGTACACTAGCTTCAGTATTTAAACAGTATATTAAAGTTTAATTATATAACCACTTCTAGAAAAACTATGAAAATTGTACAGATACTACTGACTTGATTATTTTATCAAAGTAGGATTCTTATTTGAACCTGTAAAGATGATATTGTCAAGCTATTGTAATGAAGATGAATTATAATCTATTTTTTAATATTCAAAATAAAAAAATTAAGTATATAATACTATTACTATACACTATTTCTGAATTTTTTTGAACAGAGTAATAAAAATCAAAATACATTTTTTAGTATTATTTGAATATTTCACACTTAAAACATTTTTAAAATTAAATACCAAACTATATTCTTAACTGTCATTTGACTCCATTCTTCTTCCAACTTTTTGTTGATGTTTTTTTCTTTTTGTTACAACATGCTTAATTTTGTAAGTCTTTAGAAATACTAATTAGATGTTAATTTTTGTCTATGATTTCAGTTTCTTCTTAATTCTTTCATATGCTCAATCATCTTCATTGCATGCTTTATTATTGTTTCTGTACTGCACTATTTTAGTTTTGTGCACTTCAGTTTTCTGTCTAGGGGGATTCTTTTTTGAAAATGACTGTGAACTCTTAGATGTGGATTTGCAATCGACTTGAAGAATAATAAAATTTAAAGTTTAAAGTATAATTTCTTACAATTTTAACATATGTTCTACATTATGTAACATTAGTACACTCTCTATGTAAATTTACGTCATTATGTATCATGAGAGTTACAGTTATTTTAAATTTGTTTCAATAATTTTTTAATACAATTTAATAGATTGATAATGAACTCCAATAATTATAAACTTTCCAAATTTCTGTTGTATACAGTATTTAAATTTTAGAGTTCAGATAATTATTTAGTTAACTTTTTAGTATTACAATTTTTGTTTGTAGTTAGATGTTTTTATATTTTTGTTTTCAATGTACAGTATATACTTTTTGTCAGCATTATATTATTTTTGTTATAGTAGCAGTAGTACTAGTAGTAATAGATTAATAGATTTTTTAATTAAAATTTTTTTTAATAGCTCCACTTGGAAAGCGTGGTTGGAAGATGGTTTATGCTACTTTGAGAGATTTAGTTTTATATCTACATAAGGTATTTTCTACAAAAACCTTAATAAACTTTTATTACTATAAAAATTGTAATGTAAATAATAATGCATTTTAGTAATTAAATTATTTAACATTGCATAAGATTGATAATTCTCCAACAATTAAATATAATGAAGTGGATTCTTTTGAAAATCAGTGTTTGTACATTTGTTGTAGAAAATATTCTTTAACGTTATTATTTTTTAATGATCAGTTATCAAAACTATCACCAAAAATAATGAAATAAATAACCAAATAATAGGACAAGAAAATTGAATTATTGAAAATAAAACAATAAAACAATGCAAAACACACAAATATACCCAAAATCAGGAAAAGGATTAAAATTATTTAATTTAATGATACAAATGTTTTTTGTCAATTTCTAACAATCATCATCAGGTATATCTTACTGAATACTGAACAGAATAACATTAAGAAATCGAACACATTTAAATATAAAGATTTAAAGTGGTTTGAATCTTGCACATGCACATTGGTACAGTGTACTAACCTAACACACAGAAATTTAACAAACAGGAAATTAAAAATTGCATTTTTTAACTTTAAAAATATAAATAGTTGTAGAATAGAATTTTATAAATTTAGGAACAATTGATTTAAGCACAAAATAAAAATAAAACATATAAATGTAAAACTGATCGTTAGGAAATATAACATGACAGTTTAAAATAAAAATAAAAGTACAAAAATCCATACTGAACAATATGTATCATATATTATAGCATTAAAATGCTATAATGTGTGATTTTTTTGCCTTTTCAATTTTAAATACAGTTGAGCCTACCTAATTTATTCATTTTTCTTCACACAAAATTTTGGACAGATACAGGGGCTGGTGGGTTAGAGAAATATCAGTGGTATCAACAGAAAGATTTTTATTTTGTAAGTAATTTTTATTACAGTAAGTCTTGTCATCATATATACACTGGATATAGTATTAACATTGAAATCATCTTAGATATCATTTTAATTATCATGGATACATTTAACAGAGATATGGTTTACATAAAGATTTTTTAACTGACTCAATTTAAAAAAATCCTTAATTTTTGCTTGCAGTTTTTGTGTTTTGAAACTAATTCTCTTGCATGCCATTGCATGTAAGCAATTGCCGTGATACGCAGTTTTGCCAATTTCTGCTTCTGGAAAATCTTTGAATTTCACCCAGATACTCCAGCAGTTTTCTAATGGAAAGAATTTCAGGATTATCTTCTTTATCAATGTCATCTTATGGCATATCCTTGTTTTCTCTCTGCACAAATTCACAAATTCATTGAGAGTCATCTTGCCAAACTGGTACATTGTCTTCAACTTGAAGGATATCATGTTTGAACTAAAGAACAATCAGTAACCAGAAAATTGGAAAGCTCCTGGACTTTTGGTAAGAACACTGTCTGATTTTCAGTGCCATCAGGATGTGAGAGGCCAATATACAGGGTGGACCAAAAAGAATATACGTATTTCAAACTGATATATTTAATAAACTGTAAGACATACAACTATGTAACTTGGGACACATATTTATGAAAGTCTCTAGTTTAGATTACAGGTGTTCAATATGTCCTCCACCAGCGACATGAATGGTCCGGGCGGGAGTTCCGTCCGGGTGTCCGGGAACCGGGGTCCGGGTGGGAGTTCGGTCCGGGCTTCATAACTAACCTGCGTCTCAAAACACGCCAAACTGTTGTTTTAGGCAGCTGCAATTCCCGACTGGCACGACGTGTTGATTTTGAAGGGCTACGTTGGTAAGCAGCTTGAATCCGTGCGACATTTTCTTCAGATACACGAGGTCGGCCAGGACTCTTTCCTTTACATACACAACCTGTGTCAACAAACTGACGGTACCATCTGCGAATGTTCCATCCATTCGGAGGATCAATTTCGTACCTCAACCGGAAACGTCTTTGCACTGTAATCACAGAATTACACTTCGCAAGCTCAAGAATACAAAAGCTTTTGTGCTGTGGCGTAGCCATTTTACAACAACTGTGAATACGTCATTGTAACCAAGCACAACTGACATCTGGGGACAAACTAGACAATGCACTTGTTCCTCCGATACCCGCAGCACACCGCTACTATCGATAGTTTAATAAATATATCAGTTTGAAATACGTATATTCTTTTTGGTCCACCCTGTACTTCCAACAATTGGAAATTGTCACTAAAGTTACTAGTACATAAAGGAAATTGTCATATAAAGTTACTAGTATATAAAGCTGAAAAACAGGATTCTTTCTTTCTTTCTGTCACTGTATGCCAAAAACGGCCACTAGGGCCGCCCCTAGCTATTTAAATTAACAATATAAATTATTTTATATTTTTACAGTATAAAATTCAGTATATTATTATTTTTATTTGTAATTTAGTATGCCCTGATGCCTGTATCTGGCCTTTCAACTGGTTGTATCCATAAGAAGCAAATCCCAGTTGTCAGAATCTCCAGCATTAATTTGATGCATGACTAGTTTGCAATGCACATTCCTATAGTGTGCTTTGAAAGTTCTGATAACTGCAACTACAGTAGAGCATCAATTATCCGACCCCCAATTAACCGTCACATCGGTTAACTGACCGTTCTAGTCGGCAAATTTCAAATGTCCGCTAGTGATGTGGCACTACAATATTTGGCTATGTCTTGGCTACTTTAATATTATTTTTGTTAAATTTTTGCATGTTGCCAGCTAAAGGCAACACGGCTCGACCATTGAAGGGAGGCCAGTATTTAAACGAGACTTAATTTTCTAATTACGAGTGGTTGTTTGTTTTGTGAGCAATAAAATAATTAAAAAATAATTTTTAATGATACAATAGCGACGATTATTATTTTTTTAAAGAATTTGTTAGGCTTAACATCGATGAAAATTCAACAGAAAGTTGGTTAATAGCGATATACAGTAGACCCCCCTATAACGCGGGTTCCAATAACGTAGATTCCTATGACGCGGCGAAAAAATTGCGTCAGTATTTGTACAAAGACGCTGAAAGGGATGCGTGAAACGCGGTAAAACATCATCGCGGACGAGCAGCTGAACTATTTTCTGCCGTCTAGCGCTACGCTACGGAGAGTTTAGGCGGGTAAGTTGAGTTTAACTTTCGTCTGTACAGTATTATATATAAATTATATATAAATTAGGTACTGTATATATAATTATATATTAACTTAATTTATTTTAACTTTATTATAATTATATGTATAGTTTCCGCCGTCTAGCGCCATGCTACGGAGAGTTTAGGCGAGCTATCGTCTGTACAGTATGTAAATTAGGTACCGTAAGTCTAATACAGTACT